GCATTATACGGAAAAAATATTATGCTTAACATACATGTTCTTTTACGTATACATGCTTTAGAGAGATGTCACGAAGTGGATAATATTTGAGAATCATTAGAAGTTTTTTCCTTTGATTAGATACAAAAGTCCTCGTTGCGTATCCGACTATGTTTGCTAACACTCTATTTAAAAGTTCGAAGCTATACATTCGACTGCGAGTTTGTTGTCACTAATGAATGAAGCAGCGAATACATTTAAAAGTCAGCTGAAATTTCCTTAAATCCAGAAATCTAATCTCAAAGTCTTTTGATAAAATGGAAATCAATGCCTTATATTTTTCGCTATTTACTTCCTTTTGCTCACAATAATTAAAGTGCTCTAAAATGAAGGAAATTATTTACCTTAATGCAGGATTTCTTTAATTTAATCTAGAATTCTATAGACTCTGCAGTATCTATTATTTGTTGCTTTCGGCCTTAAAAGTGCAATTTCTTTTAAATGAGATTTTAGATTTTAATTTCCTTTTTACGGTTTTTTTCTGTGCTAAATGATGACTATTTTTTTCTAATGTATCTTTCTCATATAATATAATATTTTTAATCAAAAATAAATAAATATATTTTCATAAAGAGAAATTTCAGTTCCTTTAAAAAAAGAGATCATATATCTCCAAGGATTTTTAATTCCTTCACTGGATATACTTGTTTACGTTTAAACATTTAGACGTACCTACTTCATAATCTACATGCTTGATTAAATAAATAATAATATAATTAAATCTGCATTCAAAATTATGTCCAAGCAGAGCAGTGAGAAGCTGAAGTGCGTGGTTATGTAAGATGAAGCACACAAAGAGAAAAGTTTCAGTTTCCAATTATTACGTCATCAGCGTTGCGCCATGAACCTTATAAGAGATAGACTAACCCAGTAGGCGGAGCGCACGTCACCGACATGTCGGCAAGAAAGAATAGGGATGATCTGGTTTACTTTAACACTGAAACCTATGGCGTTTGTATCACATAAATCTTTTTAATTATTAAATGTGATACATTGTATAGTGATGAGATTATGAAAGCCACAATTTTTTTTAAATAGGATTTAATATATCCCATTAAAGCACTTTTTACTGCATTTAGCGCATTTTTTTCCCCCCACGCGTAATTCTTGTACAAACATTTTTACTTTGGTAAAACGGTAAAAACTCTAAGCACAAAATTTATGAACTTAATTTTGCGTAAAAATAAAGTAAAATTAAATAAGGTTGATAGTACGCTATGCTTTGAAATAAATAAGGTAAAATTAAACAAGATCTGATAATTTTTTTTTTTAATTTAATGAACATTTTCAGGCAGTGATTTTCTAAACTATAATAACATTACAAAACGATCATATTTATTTGATTATATGATCATTAAATTATTAACAAAGAGGATTAGCTATTTTAATAATTTATAAAATTCGGAGCATAAAACTTTCTGAGCGTAATGAAGAAAAAAAAAGATAAAATAAAAACTAGAAGCACTCTTTTTTTAAAGTTTTGTGTGTTACTTATATTTATTGAATATCATGTTCTTCGCCCGTAAACCACATACATTTGAAAACAGCATATCTTTAGAATTTCTGCACTGGAGATAAAACTGTTATTTTCCGTACAGTGCTCGCTCTGAACTCGTTAAGTTTGTTAATCAAAAATTCGTTAAAGTTTTACAAAATATGAAATAGATTAAAACAAATTCGAAATTCGGCCGTCCAGATGCCTATGTTCGGGTGGAAGATTACAGTGCGAGAAGCATACATGTATTCATGCAGATTCTTCATTATTTAATTTCTTTACATATAATACAGGGCGGTAATATTTGGTAACAACAATTTGCAAGGAAACACGGACATTTATAGTAAAACAGCGCAAAATGCCGCTTCGAAACTAACAGCCTTTCTAGGCTACCTCCCCTTTGGGCTAATAAATTAAATTAACAGTAAATAAAAAAATCTTATACAGAGCTAAAATAAATTAAAAAAATAATCACTATAAAATAAGCAAAATTAATTATTACGGTTAATACAATTTAATATTAGAATCAAATGTATAAAAATTTTAAGGAGTCAAAAGTCTTTATCACTATGATGTATTATGAAATATAATTGAAATAAAATTCTTTTATAGAAATTGTGCTTTAATACTCATCTATAATTTTAAAAAAGCAGCACCAATTTAGAATTTTAAAACAAAACTTTCAAAAATTCGTTTTTAAATATTTTAGTATTTTTTACTTATTTACACCAATAAAAGCATAAAAATAGCAAGAGAAAATTGCTTGTTTGAAATTTTCTATTAGTTCAGATTTAAAATATTATTTTCTAAAAAAAGTAGTTACAAATTTCCTTACAGCATACGAAAAGCGTAAAAGAAATCCAGTCCTGAAAGCATGCAATAGCTTTATAATTATTTGGGACGTTAATTATGCTTGATAAATATGCTAAATTTTTAAAAATGAATTTCAATTTCAAAAATAAAAATATGGAGAAATTCTAATTTGTGAAATGAGGCGCTACAACCAGCTCTTTCTTGACAATTATACACGCTGCAATAGGCAACCAATGTTAAATTTCTGCAAGTCGTCCCTACTCATCCGGATGGGATCAAGGTGACAGCCGGCAACGCCTCAGACAAGGGAGAAAACCCGTTTGGGTTAGTCTATTTCTTATGAGGTCCATGCGTTGCGCAGGCCATGCAAAAAGGAAATATCTAGAAATGACGCAATCGACAAAAGTTATTACGATTTTTAGAACCGAGAGAGAGAATTAAAGAGTTACCGTTAGTTTAAATTATAATTTTGATTCGCATACTCTTTATCTTACGTATATAAAAAAATAACTAGGAAAACATTTATACATATATATATATATATATATATTATTGTTTCATAAGAATAATTGAATTTAATTAAAAAAATTAAATTTAAGTACATATTTAATTAAATATTCTTTGCGCCGTTGCTGCAAGGAATGAAATTTCTTAACAAATACGTATAAAAGTAAAAAAGCAAATTTAAATTCTAAAAAAAGGAAAAAAGCCAAAATTTAAAATAATTTAAAAAAAAATGTGCAAACATGTAAAAGATTTAATTCTCGATCTAATCTACAATATCATTTAAATTCAGAAGCATAAGCAAATCAAGTGCAAAATCCATCCATGAAAACAAATCCACTAATTTAATAAATTAAAACCAAATTAAACAATTTTTTTAAAAAATGCATATGTGAATGACCGTAGAGTAGGCAGGAGACAGACTTATCAAGGGAAAGTTGCCTCCAAACCTAACTCTCCAATCATTCAATTCGTGTTCCGCCACCCATGCAGACAGGGTAAAAGTCAAAACCAAAAGCAATTCCAATAAAGTGGTACCCTTAGAAATTAACATTTATTATATTATTGATAACATATTTATAGCATTATTGATATGCATATTCGTGTAGGGGAAGTTTCTGTAGACAAGGATTTCTAAAATACATTGGTTTCTAGTTTTTTTTATTATTTTATAAAAATTAATTTTTAAAAAATTTAATTTTTAAGAAAAATTTTAATTCTTGACTTTACTTGCTTGTTACTCACTCAAAGACTTCATTAGTATTTTCCTTTTTGAACTTTAATTCTTAAATATTAATACTTAAATGTTAATTTCTAAGGGTACCAATTTATTGGAATTGCTTTTGGTTTTGACTTTTACCCTTGCCTGCATGGGTGGCGGAACACGAATTGAATGATTGGAGAGTTAGGTTTGGAGGCAACTTTTCCTTGATAAGTCTGTCTCCTGCCTACTCTACGGTCATTCACATATGCATTTTTTTAAAAAAATTGTTTAATTTGGTTTTAATTTATTAAATTAGTGGATTTGTTTTCATGGATGGATTTTGCACTTGATTTGCTTATGCTTCTGAATTTAAATAATATTGTAGATTAGTTCGAGAATTAAATCTTTTACATGTTCGCACATTTTTTTTAAAATTATTTTAAATTTTGGCTTTTTTTTTTTTCCTTTTTTTAGAATTTAAATTTGCTTTTTTACTTTTATACGTATTTGTTTAAATATATATATATATATATTATATGTATATACTTTTTATCTTACGTATTATATATATATATACATATGTATAAATTTTTTTCCTAGTTATTTTTTGATATCTGTTCGAAATGTAAATATTTTCTACAGGGGGTAGAGCTTCGAGCCCAGGTACCCTGGTGTTTGACACCGTTCTACTAGAGTACGCGAAAGAAAGTCAAGAGATCGCGTGCCTGCTTGCTTCTGAATTCGACTTTTTTTTTTTTTTTTTTTAATTTTAAGATTCTCCGTTATTTTCTGCAGCAGTCGTTGCCATAGTTTTGAGGAGGGGGGGGGAGAATTTGCCTTGAAATGCCTGTTCTACAATAACAGACTATACTGTTAATGATTTTAATTCCAGTTCAGATCTTCCCAGTGCTTTCATAATTCTAATATTCAGCTGCTTTATATTTCAGTACGGTTTTCCTGCACAGCTGACGTTCGTTTTGGTTTTGCTCCATCTATTGATTTCTATACTAATGCAGTACCATATTAGAGCAACGACGCAAAAAATTTTCACTCTTCATAGTCAAGGATGTATGTCTGTTTGTCATCGTAATACATAGAATTTTATTCAAAATGTATGCGGATCTGAAGTAGCCTTAGTTTTAAATTTTAAACTGGCATGTTTTTATTTCGACCGTAGAGAGAATTTAAAACACTAAACGATGACGAACTTCAAATATCTGATTTTATACAGCTATCTCATTATATAAATTGAATAAGAATATTTTATAAGAATCTGCTTTAATTTAGTCAATATCCTCATATTCGTTTACGGGCCATATGATGAAATTTTCTGCAGACCGTAATATTTTTAGAGGAATTACGACGAATTTTCCAAATACTTCTTAACTAATGGAAACCATAATATTTTCATATTTTTCTCAAATTGCATAGCATAAAACTACTCACTTTGGCGAGCCTTTCGCCGTCTTCGTACATGACTTGTCGATCAGTGGTGGCATCCGCCTTGTTTCCAATCAGCATAATAACTACATCGTCTTGCGCATACTCATTGATTTCACCCAACCATGCCTGAAATGGGACAAGAAAACAGTGATGAGAAAACACCATATATACCAGTTCTAATCAAAGTAAGAAAAAATAGTGAACTTGTTAGCTTCCTAAAGCATATCATATCTTTGTGTAAGGTGTGTGTGATTACGGCAAAGCCTCGAGGGCTATCTGCCTAAGGGGGAGGGATGCCTTCGTGGAGGACTTCCTAAGGTAAAGTGGCTCGTATACACGTTACACATGGGGAAAACCACGAAAACGCCCATGCAGCCAGGCCGTTCGCGGGATTCGAACCTCGGACCGAACTACTAGTGTTCAGCGACTTTACCGCTCGGCCGCTGGTGGGCTACTGCATTTTAAATGAACTGATTATAAAAGTATGTTTTTGTCACTCAAAATATCAAGTTGGAAGGAATTGTGTAAATCTGTGTAAGGAATTGCAGTGTTCCACTGTTGAATGATTTTATGTTGAAAGTGATTAGCATATTCAACTAGCAGCTGAAAGACCAGTATTTTTAGTGTCAGCTAACGTGTAATTTATTTCTCATATTTTCTGTTCTGAAAACCCTAATAGCTTCTACAGGTTAGGTCCTTACCTCTACAGTACCACGGTTGATTGAGGTATTGCTGAACATAGATAACTGTTAAGGTTCCGAACCAGTTTATAACCAATAATAATAAATAATTTAAAGTAATTTATCAGCTACTTTTGGGTCAACAGAAACATAATGGTTTTCCCAGGAAATGGAGTTCAGCCGAAGTCTGATCTACCTTCTATTGACAACATTGAATCAGATTTTGATTGTATTTCTTTTCCGTGTTTAATGTATTTCTGTTGGTTTCAAAACTGCTTCTAATGTAAAACTATTGAATTTTACATATTTCATTTGCAAAAACTAAAATTTTTTTATGTAACAAATTTCAAAAGTAGGACTAATTTTAAATTCATTTTATTTGACTGGTGTAAGTTCAATATTTTTTACTTTTTAGTCTTTAATTATCTATCTATATATTTATCAATCTATATCTATATATATATATGAGCTAGTTTGACTATATAAGTTTGTACAAATTAATAAGAATTATTTAATATTGTGAGTTTTCCTTGACAATAGCGAGCTTCAATGCATAAGAGTATGATGATATACGAATATTTCAGTAATAATACGAAAAAATGAGAATAAAAAGTAAAAAGAAGACAAATTGATATAAAGCTAAAAGGAAATTGCACATGCTTAAATATTGAAGTAAATAAAAATATCGCAGAGCAATAAATCGAAAAAAATCGACAAATTGACCCTTAATTAAAAATCCAGAAGCAGAATTGTGAAAACAAAAATAAACTAAGTTAATGAAATTACACTCGCACATCTCTCACTAGAGGGCGAGATATATACATTTCTACCAGCTGCGTTTCCGACTTCTCCAGTAAAACCTCGAAATAACTTGAAATATGTTTAAAAAACAATTTAACAAGATAAACGGCCAAAATTAATTATTAATTATTAATAAGTTAGTAAACCGATGAGTCTACATTTACGCAGCTCCATAATAATTGAAATAAATAAAACATGAATAATAAGGTATGAAAGAACAAAAATATGCCCATCGTTATATATTAAAATTTATCTTTCGTGTTTTTGCTTCTATACATGCATAAAAATATATCTATAATGAATATAAATTAATACTGAGAGTACAATAAGTTAAAATTTTTTTTAGAAATTTCAAAAATACCTAATTAATTACGTACTAAAATAGCAAAAATCAGTTCAATAAAATAATGAATGTAAATTACTTTTTCCCAAAAAAAGCAAGCTCAACACACATAAATTAAAACATGTAAGCATGAACAAGAGAAAACTTTTTAACTAAATGCTAAATTTTCCTTAAATTATTAAAAATATAATGCTTTAAAATGAAAGATTCAAAATCAGAAATTACTAAAAATTAGTAAGAACTAAAGTTAATTATATATTTGGAAAACTGACTAAAGAGAATGTGAATAAACGATAAAATAATTAATTAAATGATCCTTCCTAGGATCCTTAAATGATCCTTCCTAGGATCCTGATCTTTCTCAAGGGAACAGTACAGAAGAGATTAGTCCTTTATTAATTAACTAAAATTTTTTAATTAGGTTAAACTTTTTTTTATCAGGCTATATTTTTGATCGGATCTAAAATTATTCAAAGCGTCTAAATTCATACGCAATAAAATAGCTAATTTCGAAAATAATAAAAAGTAATAGAATTTACATTATTTCCGCCTATCCCTAATATAGCTTAATTTTTGTAAAAATTACTAAACGTAACATTAATTGAATAAAAATTTCTTTAATTTTAGTGATAAAGCCCATTTTTGCTCGGGAAGCAAAATGTTACCTTTTACTTTTTAAGCTATTAAAAAATGGAAAAACACAAAAATCAGATAAAAACTTTAAATAACAATGAACAGAAATAGGTGGTAACCTAATTAAAATAAAAAGAATTAATACAAAAAGGGAAGCAATGGAAAAAGTTAGATTTATAGCAAGCGAAGCAAACGATGCCAACACAAAACTGCAAATACTTGCTTTTAAATGTTGCCAGTTTGTATAAACTAGAAAATGAAATGCGTTGAGTTTTTTGATGAGAATCAAATAATCAGTTGCAGGCGGAGCAAGGTGAGACAATTTAAACAGTTCTTTTTGGTAGTTACAGTAAGATGTAATCTTTTGAGCTGCAAAATTTCTCTCAGACGTGGATGTAATAAAAAGAAAAGTTTAGGAAACAGGAAATTTATAGACTGACTGCAGTTAAAGTGCTGCGTAGAAACTTGAATAAGAAATGTTTCCTTTTATTGCCAGACGAAAGATTTGGATATGATATTTATTTACAAATTTACAACAACCACACATTCGGTATTACCTCCAAGCTAGTATTAAACATATATAGATAAATATAAACTAGAGAGATTATCAACCCCCCAAAAAAGTAGAGCAAAAATTTACTTTATTCGTCTGCCTCTGAAGGTCCATTTTTGCATAGTTTTTACTTACCATATATGCATGTATAACATGTAATGTTATACATGCATAAATATATGAATAATATAAAGATAAAATATATGAATATATGATAAAATATATGAATAAATAATAAGATAAAATATATGAATGTGTGTATAATTCAATATATTAGAAAGTTATTTTTCTTTTTGGGGGGAAGGCCAAAGGGGCGCTAAAGGGGCTATTAGTCTCAAAATAACATTTTGTGGCGCTTCACTATAAACGACGAATTACTTTTAAACTGTTGCCGACAAATATTATCACCCAGTATTATATTTAAAGAAATTAAATAAAGAAGAATCTGCGTGAATGTATGCGAGTTTCTCGCACTGTGAAAAAACGACGGTTACCTACAGCCATCAAATTCTGAATAACGCAATCCTCCACCCGAACATGGGCACATGAAAGCCTGAATCTTGAATTTCGAATTTGTTTTATTATCTATTTCATATTTTATAAAACTTTAAGGAATTTCTGACTAACAAACTCAACGATTTCAAAGCAAGAAATGGCAACACTGTAAGGAAAATAACATTTTTGTCTTCAGCGCACGAGACTACATAGCGGAAATTCTAGTGATATGCTGTTTTTAAATATCCTGTGATATTGTTGTTGAACTGAATTTTTTGTGGTTCTAGTGCGAAGAATATGATTAATAAATAAAGATAACACAGAAGACGTTAAAATTTTTAAAACCTTTACGTTAAAAGAAAACGTTAACCTTTGAGCGTAATATAAAATCTGAAAATTTTAATTTTTTTCCCTTTCATTTTAAGAACAGGCATTTCAAGATCCATTTTCTATCCCAAGTTAACTATGTCTCATAACCATGGAGCGCTGAGAAAAAAGGTCAAATCTACTGTTTTGCTAAAATTCCCTAATTCCTTCTGAGTGGTGATAAAGATACACTTTACTCTCGTAAAAGTAAAGTGAAACTAAACTCGTAAAAGTAAAGTGAAACTTAACTTTACTCTCATAAAAATGAGTAAATGAGGGGAGGGTTATAACGTCCTTGACGTTCTTGTTTCAAATGTAACAAAGTACAATAAGAAACAGGCAGCAATATCTAGTGATAGAAATAATTATCGAGCCATCAAACTTATAATTGTGAAAGTACTGTTTTCCTTTAGTATTTTGTGTTTTTTCATTGATATTGCATTCTTTAATAGACATAAACATAGTAACAAATACGAAAGCATAATTTCCACGTTCTAAGTAAGTTGAATTTTAGAAAAAGAAACAGGTTCAGTATAGCCCACCTTCAAAGTTTGGTGAATTTTTTTTTTGGCGCCAAAAGCGCGTGAAATACGTTGTTTTGAAAAATGATTAACATCGAGATTTTCCACGAAACTCCGTGTTTCAAAAATGGCGGCCATCTTGATTTCACCAGAAATCGTGGATAATAGAAATAAATTTACGACTATTATACACCATTTTAAAAGAAAAAATATTAAGTAATGATTAATGAAAAGGATTAAGGTTAAAAAGCTGTAATTTTAAAAACAATACTGGAAACCTTTAGCTATTTCACCCTTAATAAATAATTTGGTAAAAGCACAGAATAGGCTGCATCAACAAAGCTGAGAAGGCGGAGTTGTGTGACGTCCATAAATGGTGGGGGGGGGGAAGGGAATAAGCTTGTAACGTCACCTCCCATGGACCTTATAAGAAATAGACTAACCCAAATGGGTTTTATTCCTCGTCTGAGGCGTTCCCGGCTGTCACCTTGATCACATCCGGAGGAGTAGGGACGACTTGCAGAAATTTAACAGTAGTTGGCTATTGCAGTATGCCTATTTGTCAAGAAAAAGCTGGTTGTAGCGCCTCATTTCACAAATTAGAATTTCTACATATATTTATTTTTGAAATTAAGATTGATTTTAAAAAATTTAGCATATTTATCAAGCATAATTAACGTTCCAAATAATTATAAAGCTATTGCATGCTTTCAGGGCTGGATATTTTTTTTAGC